CTCTGTGTTGTCAGAGTGCCTTTCTGGTCTGGAATAAGTCCCATAAACTGTTTCTTTCAGCCAGTGTGCAGAGATAAGAGAATACACTGGTGACTCTTCCTGCGTCCAGACTATCATTATATGTACTGGGAAAAACAAGAGCCACTGCAAACATTTAGGGACAAAATAATGTAAGGGAACTGTCTTCTGCAGTGTGTTGGTGTCAAACTGATGAGTAAATGGTTCAAGACAGTGTCCCTTATTATCCATAAGAGGGTTATTATTCAGATTGTGATTTTCTTTTCTTTGAAAATGAGGCTTGCAGTAATCTGTCTGACATCATTATTGGCTTCCCTTTACCTGATGCTCTGTTATTCCTCCTAACTTTCTACAGCTAGACTGATTTTTATTTAACAGAGTTTCTGGTCACTGTTCTTTACTCTTCTATTTTCATTTCCTTGTTTCACTGGAGAAAAGCACTTGTGATTTCAATAAATAAGAATTTGTATTCAACTGATCATAGAATCACAGAATGGCCTGGGTTGAAAAGGACCACAAAGATCACCCAGTTTCTACCCCCTGCTATGTGCAGGGTCACCAACCAGCAGATCAGGCTGCCCAGAGCCACATCTAGCCTGGCCCTGAATGCCTCCAGGGATGGGGCATCCACAGCCTCCTTGGGCAACCTGTTCCAGTGTGTCACTACTCTGTGTGAAAAACTTCCTCCTAATATCCAATCTAAACCTTCCCTGTCTTGGTTCAAGACCATTCCCCCTTGTCCTATCACTCTTCACCCTCACAAACATCCGTTTCCCTTCCTGCTGATATTTGGGTTCTACTTGTACTACTAGTATATTACTTTCTTTTGAAAAGATAATTGTTTTGTATCAGACTAGAGGAGGTGAAGAATGATTTAGTTCAAGATAAAGAGTAGAACTATGTATTTTATGTCATGGCAGTGCCATGTTAAGGATACCAGTTTGTGAGTATAAGAGGAAAACTTAGGAAACGATGATAAATATTTATGTAAAGCTATGGCATAGGGTTTGTTAATGTGATGGATTGTGTAGTAGTGCAGAAAGGGGCTTCTGTTGCAAGGGCGTTTTTCAAAGCATTTACACTGATGCTTAGAAGAAACAAAGACATTGCAGCCCATAATTCATTTAATGTGCTACAGACAAATTGCAAACACGCATTAGAGGAAAAACTGTAGGTTTTTTGTCTTTTTTAGCCAAATTCTCAGTGTATTAGAAGAATTCTTATATCCATTTCTGAATAACGCTAGGTAACTTCATCACCTGTTTGATGAGAGAGAATAGCTTAATAAAAAAGTGATTTCAGCTACAAGACTCTTAGTAATCAGTTATGAGGCAAGGGAAATCAGCTGAAAAAATGTTGAATCTGGTCATAAATTTAAGTGAATGACATTTTACTTTCACTTCAGTGCTCTGAGTCATTATATGATATGGACTGTGGTCCTCAGAAGAGTTTTGCTTCCACATTCTGCAGAAAATGTGCAGCTCCTCTATGCCTCTGTTGCTGCCTCAATAAAATGGGGATGATGTGGTGATACTAGGAGGCTTTTAAAGTGCTGTACGGCAGTAATGATAAGGTGTTACGATTTTCTGTGACCAAGCCTAGGGGTCCTTAATTCAACAGTCCTGTCGTGACCTTGGGTCACTGTGCATCATGCTGCTGTCATGAAGCTGTGGACATATTAGACCACAAATTTTGTTCCTGGCATATGCCTGAACAGTTATTAATTTGCCTTTTGTGTTCAAATCTTCTGTTTAATTTGAATTAGCTTAGCTGTAATTGGAGTTAAAATGCCTTGGTCTCTGGTTTCTCTGTGAGGTCAGGGTGCTACGTGTGTACTGCCTGCCGGCTGTCCCCACTGACGCTGTTTTGCAGCAAAATGGACTCTAAAGTCCAAGGCCCTTTGTCAGCGAAGCAGACTGTGTTTACCCATGGCAGTGTTGCTGCTCATTATCTACATCGTTGTCAAATGGTTATATAAAATAAAGAGGGACGGGGGGCCAGGCTGTGTCTGCGAGGAGGGCTCTGGATTGCTAAAGAGCAAATGCAGCCCTTGCAGGCTGCAGGCTGACACAGCCTTTCCCCTTGCTCAGAGAAAGACTCGTTTTATTCTTGGTGGTTTGTTTTTTTTGGGGGGGTGGTTTTTTGTTGTTTTTTTTGGCCATATATTTTAGTAGTCTGAGTATGGTAATCCAGGCTCCAGTTTATATAGAATGGTTAGTTACCCAGCTTATTGCTGAAGCGACGTTTTTTCTTTCGTGTTTAATTTCTGCAAGGGTTGTAATTGTAAACCTTATTTTATTGTTTTTATTGCAGATTATTCTTAGTAGGATTACCTTTAACTACATCTCCTTTGAGGCCTGCCTGTCTGTCACCCATTTATATAACACGAGGTCACACACACCAGTTTGTTCTTTCAGACAATTCAGAGCCGCTGTTTCTTACTCTGTTCCACTCCTCTCGCTCTGTACTCCCTACAGAAAGACACTGTGGCTTTCTGCCCCTGGGAAGGAGATTCTACAGATATTTTCCAGTACCCCAGGTCGCTCATTCTGACCTAGGCTGGTTGCTGCACTGTGAATGCTCAGAGCAATCGGATTGTGTGCAGGCTGTACGCTGCCCTTTCTCAGGTGTCCAGTGAGGCCCAGCCCAGCCTGGGCCCTAATCCTGCCCCGGAGCCTGCAGGCTGCCCTCCTGCTTACACCCATGCCCGCTGCCCTCGTGCATTGCCCCTGAGCAGAATAAGCCCTCCTGCACTGCATCTCTCCCTTGAAAAGTAACTCAAGGCACAAACGTAGCGCCCCAGTGGACTGAAATGTGTGTGTATCGGGGAGGAGGGGAATAACGAGTAGGGGAAGATTTATGCCTTCCTTTGCGCTGTTGCTTGGTAACAGAAAATGCCTCTTAAGCCTATTTTTGGTGAGAGGAGGGGTGAAACTTGATTCAGTGACCATCTGTCCCAAGCCAGTTGATTTCCTGTTGAGCTGTCCTTTGTTTCTGTCAAACAATTGATTGTTACCCTTTGCAGATAAGGATACTGTTGGTGACATTGCCCTGAATCAGCAGGTTGGCTTGTGGAGACCACAAATCAGACTTACCACTTTTTTTTTTCCTTAAACGTTTTGGGTTTTTGGTGTTTCTGAGGCCATTAACCGTGGTTTTTATTCATCTGTATTGCTCCCTCTTTCTTCTTATTGATTTATTTTCCTTTTTGGGGAATGTCCATCAGTACAGTGTTAGAGTGGCACAAATTTAATTGAAATATATTTTTTTTTCAAGAAGTAATAATGCTCTTTAGGTAGTGTGAAGTCATTGGGAAAAAACCAGTTTTGGCTGCATAACCTTTTTGGCAGTGATGGGGGCAGAAGTTAACTGAAGTCATTATTGAAGAAATCCCTGCTGTTTCTTTGAAACAAAACTAAAGGTTTCTGTGTGTTTTTTTTCTTTTCTTTTTTTTTTTTTTTTTAGTTACAAATGAAATATTTGCTATTGTTCTTGCTTAATTGTTAGAAAATCATTCTCTGTTTGAGTATCTCCTGATGTTTGCTTAGTTAGTAATAGATAGATTTAAACTCTGATTAGATTATTTTTGTCATCTTTATTTATATTGCAAAAGCCCATATTTTTCCTTTAGGTTTATGCACACAGGGTATAAGGCATGTGCTCTGTAGCCACCTTTATTGATTAAGCATTCGCATTCTGTTCTTCTTCCTGCCTTGAATTATAACGTTCAGAGAAGAGGGCAATGCTTCGGTTATCAGCTGAAAAAAGAGTAAGGAATGTGTATCCAGAGAGACAAGTAATATCTGCGAAAGCTGAAGATACGTTGTCTGGAGCTTTTCAACTTTGCCTTGGATATGTATTGAATTAGGATCTTTTTGAGCTAGTAGCAAGGTACCTGCTAAACACTGATTTTAGTGGATGTTGTGTCAGGCATACTTGTGGGTTTTCGTTACTTCCTTTTTGAAGTTGCATGAGATGATTAAAATCTGTGACTTTGCTTAATAAGAGTTTCATATCAAACCATGTCAGTGAGTCTGTGGTTAGCCGTGTGATAGCACTGTGGCTTACTTGCAGATTAGCCACCTTTGTATCTTCCTTTTTGTTGGCTGTTTATAAACCTGAACCTCAGCCTTTTCCCCCTGTTGTTTTGTTGTTTGTTTGCCATATGCTATGATCTGGTATAGGAAGTGATCCACTTGAAAAGAACTTTTTCTAGGTTAGTTTTTCAGATGTATAAGTTCCTTGATCCAACACGCCAAGCTGAGGTGTGTGATGCAGTGATATGTGTGACTGGATGTAATCTTTTTTTCATTAGTTCACGGCGAATGTATTGAGCTGTTTACGCATATGAAGTTTCTGCTAAGTAGAGAAATACTGCATTAGGATTAGTTTGGGAATTTTGTTAATCGGATAGATGTACAGACAGTTTTTGTTAAACTAATTGGACAAGTATATTTGCTGCTTTCAGCCTTTCTTGTGCTAGAGATGAGTAGACAACATCAAGATATCTTTTAGCCATTTTATACTGTCTTGAAAATCCAAAAACATTTGTGTAACTGTGTAAATTAGGTTGTTGTTTGGGGCTAGGGAGTTGAAACTTTGCAGGGAGGGAGCTGTTCTGAATTGTCTCGAACTGATTCTTTTTCCTCATACCTGCAGAAATGAATTTATTTGAAGGGGGGAAAAATTAAGAGAGCTTGAGAACTTTCTTTCAGGCTTGAAAATCCTGTCCCATGTGTTTTTTCAGGCATAGAATAGCTATTTTTCTGGCAAAGAGTAGTTATTTTTATGTTGCTAAGCTGTATAGCCCAAACTGCAGGGAACAGACTGAAGGTCCAGTTCTCTCAAGCAGGTCAGTCAGTGGTGCACGCAAATGACAGAGCAGTTAGGATTCTGGTTTGCACCTATCTCCATGCTTTCCTGAGTTGTGTGGTGCTGCATTTCTTCCATTAAAACAGATCTCACGTGTCCTTTGTTCACAGATAAAAGCAGCTGCAGATCTGCTGTTCAGAGGGCGCAGCACCTGTGGCTTACCTTACATGCAGGAGAGCAGTAATTTGAGAAGCAGGTAGGAGACTGGCATCTGCTTGCATTCCCCTTCTCATGTTGCTGTTGCAAGGATGCAATTATTTATGTATGTCTCTTGCCTTTTGAATGCAGTCAACCAGAGTCTGAGCCGTGCGTTTCAGTGCTGGAGCATTCTGCTCTGCTTTTCTTTGAGGAAGGGACACACGTGGGGTAGGGTTTTGAGTGGTAGGGTCGTGATCAAGTTGCTTTTCCATAGTGGATGAACTGATGTTAGCTCCTTGCATATGTCATTGTTATAATGATCCTATTGCAACTCAGCCACCATTTACAGAACCAGTAGTGGTGCTGTCCTTGATAAAAGTTTGAGAAATCTTTCTTTCCTGCCATATAAAGGCCTACTTGTGGTATGCAGGAGAGAGTGGTCACTGTGAATTCTTGCTGTGAGAAGAATGGTGCTGTCCTATCCTCTCCAGCCCATACCGCTGTTTACAAAACCATGTGCATCAAAGGTGAAAGTGCCAAGCTTCTCTTCTTCCTGGAAGGTGTGGCTACCTGTACCAGTGGTAGGCTTTTCCAAGGGGAAGTAACTAAAAAAAAGATTTTTATGGAATGTTTCTTTTTCCAGCAAATAGTTTTCTGCTGAAGCTTATCTTTGGAAAGAAAAAGAAGAAAGAAGCGTGAGCTTAAGGGAGATATGGTCAGCTACTTAATCATCTGTCACAGCCTTCTGCCTTAGAGGCTATTCCACAGGTGAATGGTTGCCTTCAGAATAGATCTGGCCCTTGGGCATGCTGACTGTGCTTATCCTCCAGTCTTCGCTTTGTATTGGCTTGATTGCTGACTGAGCTGCTCCTCATGGACCATCTCTGCTAGCTTAATTCACATTTCGTTTTAGGGTACTCAGTTTTCTGAAAGCAGGAGAATAGTCCATACGATCAGTCCTGCCCTGCATTGTGGTTCATCTCACGTGCTCCTTGATAGATGGTGAGAATGCTTAGTAGTGAGCAGCAATCTTTGGGAGATTTTCTGGAACTGCTTGGAACAGCTGCCTTATTATCGTTTGTAGTGAGAGAGAAGAATCCATAGAGAAGCTTTGTAGGGTTTAGATGAAATCAACTGATTTAAGTTCACTTTCATTTCTGCTTCTTCAGAGAAGAATCATTTGTAGAGCTGGAAGAGAATCTGCTGTTTTTGATGGGGGGAGCCTTTCGTGGGTTTGCTAGGCAGGGGAGGGTGCTCTTACCCTGTTTGGTAGGCAGGCAGGGCTGTGCCAGGCAGTGCCTGTAAAACCAGTCTGAAGGTATGAAGTGATATTAGAGATTGGAGGGAAAATTGGGGAGCAATAGAGTTCCTGGTAATTTATGCAAACTTGTACCTGGTTTCAATAATATAAATACATTTTGTATGATAAATAAATCCATTTATTTAAATATTTTAGGAAGCCTTTAAAATTATTTTTTAGAACTTGTGGTTTCCCTAAGATCCTTTTCTCCTTAATAGTGATTATGTTTATTTTGCCTCATTTACAGTCAGAGAACTGAGTGACTGAAAAAGGAAGGGACTAATTGACCTGAAAATTGGACTTCTGAGGCCTAAGCTAATGTCTCAAACCTGAGGCGACCTTCTTTGTGTCTGTGGCAGGAGAAAATGTGTTCTTTTAGAATCTGCTGCCTCACTGTTCTTATGAATGCAGTAACCATTGTGGAGCTGAGCTTGTTTCTGGACACCTGATGGCATTCAAGAGGAGGGAAATAGCAAGCCTTTTTTGTATCTGCAAAAGATGTGAATGGATAATGAAATATTCTTCCATATATAATGACTAGTGGGCTTTCATTGAGGTATTCTTTTTGATTTAACTTGGAAGTTGAAGCTGCCTGGAGAAATACTGCTGTTTTGCTGTGTGATTAGGAGATCTAGTCTGTTCAGGCAGCCATCGAGGGTATAAACTCCATGTTTCTGAATACTTTGTGTGATTCTAAAATTAGGTGTTGCCACAGTGCAACACCTAATAGGTACTCATCCTGTATGTTTGTAAATGACTGCAGAAGGCTGCAAATAAATGGAGGCATTGGTTTTGTGTTTATCAATGGTGTTTTGAAATGGCAATTTCTTTGAATGAAAGCAGATAAAATGGAATGTACCAGTTTGAGGGGAGGTGAGCAAGTGTATGGGGTGATTAGACCAATCTCTCTGAACTGCTGTTACCTTCCAGTTTTTTCTCATGTAAAGATTTGTCATCACATGATGACCATGTGGGTCTTGTTTACTTCTGTTTTTTCCCTCACTGAGGAAAAAATGTTCTTTCCTTTTCTCTGTTTTTCTCACTGCAGCACCGCTACGCTTTATCATCATACCAAGGAAGTTGATCAAGCTTTTAGAGAAAACTTAGTTTTGATTAACAGGATGTTTTTGTTGGCTGTACTGTTGCTTGTTTGTAACTTGTAGTTGATTCCACAGTCTTCTTTTGAGGAGAATTAGCTGACTTTCTTGGGTTTTCTGAATGTGTTGGTGTTGTACTTGCAGAGGAAGAAACTGCATGAAGCTGTGGGTATAAAGTTGGAGGTGCTTTTGGTGTGCTATGGGCTGGCTCTAACATAATCCAGATGGTTGAGTTTCTGCTTATTTTTTCTGACATCTTTGCCTGGAGTTTTTTCAGATTGTTTTCCCAAGTGACCAGATACCAGCAAGGGGATGGTCTTGGAGTTAAGCCGGCTCAAAGCATTGGCTGGAGGATCTTTGTTCTGATCCGTCTTGACCACAAAGTTCCTAACAGACCCTGAGGGTCGGGCGTTTGGAACTCAGTTGTTGTTGTGATCTTTTTTTTTTTTTTTTTCCATTTCTTTCTTCCATGAGTAAAAGGAGCAGCTAAATTCTCCTTAGTGTTTGTGTTGAATTAACACTCCCGTTAAAGCCTGTAAATAAACTGTGAGGTTACCAAAATGTCCTGAGCAGATATCTTGGCTTATTTTTCTTGCAGTACATTTGTTTAAAGTAAATTCTCTATTAAGTCACAGAGAAGTGGCTCTTTGTTTTACCCCTCGTTTTGGAATGCTATTTATTAGTGATTTCCAGGGGGGTCAGAAACATAAATAATGTTCGTTTCAAGGTTTGTTGGGTGCAAATGGTGGGGGGTTCACACTGCAGAGAGCTGTTTTGTTTGGTGTGGCTAATCAGGAGTGAGGCTGGAATTGCTCATAGCTGTCATTCAGGTTTTGTTTCAAAGTCCAAGGGCCTACTGGGAAAAACAAAAAGCTAATGAAAGCTGACTGTATTTCAGCCCAAACCCTCTGGAATCTAAAATGATGTCCTGACACTCAGTGTATTCTTATTCTACTGCATTCCCTTGGTTACTAAGGTAACAGGTTTTTAGAGGCTTTACATCTTCATTGTCAAGTATTTGCTACACTTATTGTTGCTGTTTGCAGATTAGGGCAATTTAAACAATGCCTTTTGAAATGGGGACGAAAAAATACAAAAAGAAATATAGTAGAAATAGATGTAATGAATCAATTACCTTCTCCCGTTTAAATTTTCAGTGCTGCTTCTCAGAGGCTTCATACAGAATGTAACATTGGTTTAGTGATTGGATTTTAGGCATGGAGGAATTTCCTTTTTTTTTGTTGTTTTTTTTTTTTTTTTTCCCCTCTCTTTTGAGGTGTATTCATTAGAGGACTCCTTGAATATAGATGTTAAGGGTATCACTTTGTAACTTCGTGCCTTTTCCTAACAACAGAGTTGTCCTGAAGAAACTGAGGTTTGGATTTACATCAGGGTGTTGTTTTTCTAATTAAAATACATCTGAGACAGTCATCTGAATTTCACAAGCTGTACTACTGCTACATCACTGCATCGGTGAAATCATACTTTAAAAATGAAGCATCCAGGGATAAATAGGAGAAGACTTTTGTGTGTGTTTAACAACATACCAGAACTCTAGCCCAGGTTGCTCTGTTGGTGCTCCTCTAGTCTGCACTCATTTAGCTAGAGCAGAAACATGCTTGTTTACATCTTTCCTGGAAAGCTGGATTGTGGCAGATGTGATCAGACTTACTTTAAATGCATCTTCTAGAAAATTATGTTTTTTATTGTCTTATTTTTTACTGGCTTTTAGAAAGCAGCAAACATCTTCTTTCCATATCTGTGATAAGAGAGCTATTAAAAAAAAACAAGTTGGTGCAGTGTTAACTCTTGAAACTACTGAGGACTTTACATTAAGCTGATTTATGCGTTGGCTGTTAGGTGCGTAATTTTAAGGTCTGTGTCGTAAAATCTTCCTTCTGTAAAATATAGATAATGCCAAGATATGAGTTAGGAGGAAAAACTGCAGGTCTTAGCCCATGTGTATGAAGAACTTTGGAGGACTGTGATGCTGTGTATGTAAGATTATGTGTCCAGATCATGACGTACAAAAGGTAAGTTTGGAGCTCTCCCTGTTAGTGATTTTCAGATATTTTGGTTTTGATAAAGTTTTAATCATATCACTAGATAATTATCATCATACATATAAGCTTTAATTAAAAAAAAAAAAAAAAGAAGAAACTTCTTGCATTTATATGAAGCAAGCTAGTGCTCTGATTGTATTTTTGTAACGTAGTTGAAATAATTGCCATTTTGTAAGAATGATGGAGTTTAAATATTGTTTCACTGATGGTTTTTGGTGTGGTTTCTTTTATTCCCTGCACTCTCCTTTCCTCCTAAACAGCTTTTGCTCTTTGCCTGTTGCAGTTTAAATGCTTTTAAAGCAGCATAGTGCCCCACTATACGGCTGCTTACAGCTCTTGTTGCAGGAAATATGGTGTAAACGGAGTTTGAAGAGTCAGGGAAGACTTTCTAGCTGTTGTTAGAGCTCCTATTGATTAACAGAATATTGCTCTGTGCATCTCAAATCAATCACATTTGTGATTTCCTCTTTGCTAATAAACGAGTTTGAATATTTTCATTTAACTAACTGAACAGCTTATGTTTCATTCACATATGCAGTCTGGGCTCATCTTTAGTTCTGCACTAGCATTTCTACCTCTGCATAAAAACCCTTGCTTA